CTTCATTTCTGTCCGTCAGCCCCTCTAAGCATTCTTGAACCCTTCCTGAAGCCTATCTTAGAGTAGAACCAAGAGAAAGAGACCAGCTAACATTTGCTTCTGCAGCACTGGATTGTAATCACAGTCATACAACATTAATTAATCCAGTTCACACTTAAACTGCCTGTGTCAGTGTTTGTTCTTTCCTGACCATAAATACGCCCTCCTGTGATACATACTTATCTGACAAGTGAAACCTACAATCCCTTTTATTTGTGAGAACTGTTGACCTGCTCAGACATCCTATTTCAAGGTAACTTGCTTCAATCGCTCTAGTTGTTGTACATATTCTCTGTATGGATTGGAATGGAGTGCACTTTCCTTCACAACAACTTCAGTTGAAATCATTTAACTGAAAAATTTCTTTTCTTTTTAACAGGATCAAAATTTGTCAGTGAAAATCAAGAAAAGGCCTGGAATTCCTCTCCTGTTCATTATACAGAACACGATAGTTCTGGACAAACCTTCGCCTAAAACCATCGCCTTTGTTAAAGCGGTTGAGGCAGGTCAGCTTGTCTCCGGACATGAGAAGCAGAGCATCCAGCAACTCAAAGAAGAGCAGGGGCTAGCCAAGAAGCCTGAGCAGAGGAGGAGAAGGCGCAAAAAAGTCAGTGGCCCCAATCCTCTTAGCTGTCTGAAGAAAAAGAAAAAAACACAAGATACAAAACCATCTTCTGCTTCTGAAAAGAAAAGAAAAAGAATCCGGAACAGAAACTCCTCCCCAAAAGTGCTTTTGGAAAAACAGAATGCAGAAGGGTAACAACTCCTGTGGATGCTTAAAAGACTTTCAAATGTAAAAAAATAATAATTTAAAGTTGTGGAAGTGTACTTGTCATAAAAGACAAACCTTATTTTTATAAAGGAGCATGGGCCCATAAGCCTCTGCCTACAATTATTTGTAAAATAAAGAGTGAACGGCTTCAGGTGGAACATTATTCACATTTCTTACTGAGTGATTTTGGGAATGGTTTTGAAGCCAAAACAATTATCTGTACCTCCCCACCCCCGTTATTCTACAAATAAAATTGTTATTAAGAGCTTGTGACAGAAAAGAGCTTTGGGCTTCCTTCTGGGGAGAATAGAAATATTTGTTTACTTAGTCTCCTCCCATTCTGACAGTATGTTAATATTTAGATCTTTAAACACATTTTCATTATGACGTAAACATTGTTCACTGCTGAACTAAGTAGCAATCTGGCGCCTCTGGAAAATAACAGTCCAAAACAAACCAAAAAGCACGGCGCAGATTTCTGAAGATTGGGAGTAAAGTCTTATGTGCTCTTCTAAAGATAATGATTTCCATTTTGAAAAACAGCTACCAGCATGCCCCTGAGCCCTAATAAAGACTGAGTGTTTTAACCATGGACATCAGGTGACGAGGCAACCTATATTTTCTAGAATTAACTGCATACTTTTTTATTCTTAATTTTAAAATTCTTGAAGAATTGGTAAACAATAGATTTAAGCAGGGATGTGAATTGCCAAGCTAGTGGCTTAAACTCTTTCTACCACTGAAAGCGGGAACTCAAAAAGATACCTGCATTCACTTTCATTACATCACTGTTCACAACAACCAAGCAGTGGGAGTAATTCAGGGGTTCGTACACATGAATAAGCAATGTACAGGATATGTGTATAAAAGATGATTAGTTTGCCCTCAGAAAGGAATGACGTTCTATTGCACGCTATGACGTGGATGAGCCTTGAGCACATTAACCTAGGTAAAGTAGGCCCAACACAAAAGGCCAAATACTGTTGATCTGGTTTATGTGAAATAGCTTGTATAGGCAAATATATGAGCACAGAAACTGGTGTCCAGAGGCTGGGGTCAAATGGTGAGTTAATTGCTTAATGGGCACAGAATTTCTATATTTGGGGTCATGAAAAAGTTTTAGAAACATGGTAATGGTCGCTTAACTGAGTGGGGTTGATTAATTTTACACATGAAAATGAAAATTTTATGTATATTTTGAACACATTTTGTTCCCTATATCACACCTATGAGTTCATTAAGATTTTCTGTGATAACATGACTGAAGAGGGAAAATGTGAGCCTCATTTACAGATGTCTCTCAATCTGCCAGCTAACCCCAAAGTGGACACTACAGTATTATAACCTCTTCACAGATGGTGTAGAGCAATGGTTCTCAACCTTCCTAATTCTGCGACCCTTTAATACAGTTCCTCATGTGGTGGTGACCCCCCTCCCCCGCCAACCAGTAAGATATTTTCGGTCCTACTTTGTAACTGTAATTCTGCTACTCTTATGAATTGTAATGCAAATATCTGATATTTACAGAGTAGCTGCTCTCTATACGTGTGTGACTGGTCTGCATAAGTACATTATGGTGCCAACCCTGTCACCTATAACTCTTTGTACGGGGCATATGTAATGGGGTTGGTGCAATGATCTCATCACGCTGGGTACTCTTATGTGGGCGGACCTGCCTGGAGACGATAGGAAATATGTAGTTTTCTGATAGTTTTGGCAACCCCTATTGAAAGGTTCTTTTGCCCCCCAGATGGGTCGTTACCCACAGGTTGAGAACTGCTGGTCTAGAAAGACAGCAATAAAGGAAAAGCTTATTGGTAGTGCTTTGAACAGTACATAGGGTTGTCCACTTTGAATAAAAGATGGGAAGCAGGGTAGATCTGCTGATATATAGCCAGTGGCTTAGAGTTAAGGGCTTGGGAAGAACAGTGTTTTTAAAATAGAATGTGTTCTGGTGAAGAGAAATGTAAATGGATCTTCAGAGTGCGAAGATATTTGTGTTCCAGGTGGATGGTGATTGCCCATCAACAGACATTTACTGCAGAAGATCATAATGCCTTTATGCTTATGTAATCAAGTGAAAACTAATCTATGGGAAAAAGATGATACATTTTCTAAATGCCAGTGTCTCTCCCCCAAAGTCTTAAATGCTTGCTCAGTGACTTGTGAGCACAGTGGTTATGGCGGTGGGAATGGAGACCAGGCTTAGCCTATAAACAGTGTTGACCTTAACAACTGCTGAGCATCTAACAGCAGATACTAGCATTGGCGCAGGGTTGGGGTGGTAGGGTAGGCTGGAGGTGGAGACTCCACCAGCCAGCTACTTGGTGGCAGGTTAATTACATTGAACCTGTCCAGAATGGAGGGGGCAGAAATTTATCCTCAATGGAACAGAACCTATTCTGTATGTCGATTTATCTACCCTACCCATAATATTTCTGCCCACGTTACTATCTATGGGCTTAGGAAATGCCTTTGATCAAGAAACTCTTGGAATGAATTGTCATGCTACAGATGGCATCACAGTACTGAGAGGATGGAGATCCAATCTTTTTTTTTTGGAGATCCAATCTTACAAGATAAGCTTTAAATCAGAGACTACCTGTGGTGTTATGTTTGTGTGATAGCTACACTATATGGACAAGAATTTAGGAACTAAAGGGTAAAGTAGCCCTGGTTCTTCTCATTGTTACCTTTAGAAGCCACTGCAGATTGCTTCCAATCCCCAACCACTTTGAATTTTACTGGTCTAAAGGTTCAGTAAAAGGAGAAATGGCTTTTTGGGTTTTTTTTGAAAAAAGGAGAAATGTTTGTTCCCAAAGAAGACATGTTTCTCCCTAGGCCACAACAATCGTTTTACTGCTTTAGAAAGTGAGACACACACAAGGTCATTTGGGGCACCTTAGTCTCTGAACCAAGAGGACAAGAGGATGCTCCTCTCCTGACCGGCAGGATGGGTCTCAATACCAAGAGGGAATTGGGTTGCTGCTACAGATTGAGAGTAGGGAGGACTGCTTTGGGAATCTGGGAGAATCTTGAGGATGTCTCTTAGTATCCGTACGTCCAAGAGAAAACGTTACTGGAAAATTGCCAGAAACAAACCAAAAGAAAGAATTGCAGTGGATTCAGACCCATGAGGAGTAGAGACTTGTGTTAGCTCCCCAGTTAAATAGCCAGATGAAGTTCTGGCTGAGGGCAAATGAAAGACGGAAAGATCACCCATGTGACAGGAGGATAAATGCAACGATAAGGGACTTGTCACTAGGTCAGTGGTTCTCAACCTTCCTAATGCTGCGACCTTTTAATACAGTCCCTCATGTCGTGGTGACCCCCAACCATCAAGTTGTTTTGGTTTCTTCTTCATAACTGTTATTTTGCTACTGTTATGAATTGAGTGACCCCTGTGAAGGGGCCGCGACCCACAGGTTTGAGAACCACTGCTCTAGGCTATATAAAGCATGAGTATAACTCCATAAAAAAAAAATGTATGCATGGATTGTGATAAGAGTTGGATGAGCCCCTAAGAAAATGATTTAAATAAATAAATAACTACCAAAAAAAGAAAATGATGATGGCGGCATATGTGCAAAGGTACTTGACACACTGGATGAATCTATGGATGTGATAAGAGATGTAGAAGCTCCAATACAAGTTTTGTTTTTTTTAAAGTGGAAAAAATTTAAAAACAGGGATTTGAATAGACATATCCCAGAGGAAATATACCCACAAAAAACACATGACTAAACATGAAGTAAACACACGAAAAGATGTCCAACATCATTACCTATCAGGGAAATACAAATCCAAACCATAGGGAGATACCACTTCACACCCACTATGAAGGCTAGCTAAAATGGACCGGGAAGAACAAGTCTTGTTGGAAGATGGAATCATTAGCACCCTCACCTACTACCAGGTGAATATAAGCAGTATAGATACTGTAGGAAATGAACAGGTAGCTAGTTCCTGGAATAGTTAAACTTAGAATTACCATGTTGTTGCTACATACGTGTTGTCCTGTTGGTTCCAACTCATAGCGATCCTATGTACAACAGAACAAAATACTACCTGGTCCTGTTTCATCCTCGCAGTTGTTTTTATGTTGAGCCCAGTGTCAGATTCTCACTTGATCTCGTAACTTCACTCCTAGGCATATATTCACAAAGAGCGAAAACCGAGGCTCATTTAAAAACCTGTATCAGAATGTTCATAGCAGTATTATTCATGACAGCCCCCAAATGGAAACAACTCAAATATTCAGTGGATAAATAAAATATGGTATGTTCATTCATACAATAGAATGTTATTTGGTCATTAAGAAGAAATGAAGTACTGATCCACACTGCAACAGGGGTAAACCTTGAACACAGGCCAAGTGAAAGAAACTTAGTCACTCGGTTACAAAGGATCATATATTGTACCATTCCACTTTTATAAAATGCTCAAAACAGGCAAATCTAGAGACAGAAACCAGATTAGTAATTTCCTAGGACCTGGCAAGATGGGGAAATTGGGGTGAAGGTTAAGGGGGTGATGATTATTTTGGGGATAATGAAATGATCTAAAATCAATTGTGATGTGTATACAACTGGGTGAATATTCTAAAAGCCATTTTGTTTTACTCACTGATGGCCTGTGATTATATCTTATAAAGCTGCTATGAAACTATTACCCACGGTAGTTATAGAATGAATATTCTTCAGGAATCTGCCAGTAGCTAAGTGGATTGAACAAAATATCTCTTGGCACTCTATTTTAGTGACAGCTAAAGACGAAAACTAATGTTTGCAAATGTTTCTAGATTCCTTACAAGGGAGAAAAACAAAGTTAATTAAGAAGGAGTTTGGGTGCTAATATTTCCATTCTTCTTTTTTCCCTCTGTGTTAATCTCAAGGGCATCTGAGCCAGGTTGCTAATGCTCACCGTCTCTCACCCGATGAAGTCAGAAAAATGCCATCTGTCCTCACTAGTTGCCAAGCCGTTACAGATTAATTAGCCTAGCCTTTTCACAGGCAGTAAATGCAGATAAGGTACATCATCCAAACCTGTGGCTAATTTGTCTCACTAGTTTGCATTGCTGCTTTGTTCAACTTGGTGAGAAAATGATCACGCTTACTGGCATTGCTTAGCTATCTGAAGTAAGACGGAAAGAAATATGTCAATAATAATGTGAATCATCATGTAAGGAAACTGGCAAGCAGTGGCTTTGAGGTTTAGAAGATCCATGGCTGTCATGAGCATGCACTGTCCATATTCAAGGTCCCCCAGCATGGTGACGAACCCTGATAACTAATCAGCTTTTGTGTTATCATCACTTTCTGAAGCAATACATTTAAACACGGAGAGCTTTCACGAGGATTGGCGTTGGTTAGAATTCAGAGACCTTATTTTAATTCACTTCCATTTTCTAGTAGTGCTCGATGCCGTTTCTAGCACATCGATGTTGAATGAGTGAGTGACTGAGTGAATTCAATGGACTGGTGTGTTTATTATGATAGGTCTTACTAGCTCACAGGTGTGAATATCACAGATCAGTGTATTTCTTTTATCTACCACCAAGCAGGGGCCATCTGGCTTTGTTGTCCAATTCAGCA